ACCACACACTAATGTTTGGCCATGGAAGAGAAATGCATTATGTCACTTTTCAAACTGCTTTGAACCCTTAGATTTGTATGTTAGTCATAACATATGGTGATCAGCTTATTGGTATTGGTATTGGTATTGGTATTGGTATTGGTATTGGTATTGGTATTGGTAGCATGGGGGCATGATGCTATTGTCGGAGAACGTTTTCCCTGCTTCCCCTTAAAAGACAGTCAGGAGTCCGTCTCAGAAGTTAAAAGAAGTTTGCTTCTCCCATAGCTCCCCTATGGGAGCAAAACACACAGATTTGTTTTCCAAGTAATTAAACTAGAACAGTCTTTAAATATTTTATGTCATCTATCATGCTTCCCTGTGCTTGCAAGATTGGCAGTGTTCTAAAATCACGCACATCTACAGTACCTACCTCCCTATTTGCTAAAGATAACTTAATTTAATACAATTGGTTACTTAGGTTCGTAGCACGCATTCTTATATAACAGTACAGAATTACATAGTAGCCCTTGTGTCCAGCATTCTCCCAATCCAGTTCAGACGAGTTCTGAATGTCCACCTAAAACAATATTGTATTTTCTGCCGGAAAAGTGTGTACACAGTTCACAGAGACCCTCTCAACCATAGGTAGCACTGATACCTTACAGCTCCATGGTCTGACATTTGATTTTGGCCTCCGGCATCTCTCTTTGTAAAATTTGCAGATTCCCCCTATGGTCCCATGAATTTTAAGAGATTTTTACAGAGTGTAACAGGTTTTTCTCAGAGTGCATGTTGGATAGGTTTGATTGACCATACTAAAGGGTGTCTTTCTCTAGGGCCCTGAGATATAAGCAACTTCCTCAAAATGGAAAGAATAGATTATTAATTGTAACAGCAGTAGCATTTATTTTTAACATGGCAGTTACATGATTACTGAGATTTGTGACAAACTAATATACAGTATTATATGAATATATATTTTTAATATTAAAAGCAATTGCATACAGTGTGTACTGAACCCGACATAATTTAGTAAGCTCATATATTAGTCTATGAAAAAAATATGGGGGTCCACTATTATCACCACCTGTCAGAATTAAAAGGATTTTTTTCTAATTATAATTGTTTTCCTGTTAAATGTTTGGCTGACATACTGTAGGTACAGTAACATTTAAAAATGACCATGAAAATTAAATCACTCTTTCCATGACTTGAATGAAAGATTACTTTTTAGAACATTAGGCCCTCTGTGATTATCTTTGGAAAGATGGATGGAATATTTGGTGTAACACAACTCAGTGAAAATTCCCCTATTAAAGGTTAATATATTTTATAGCAATAATTGTATCTAGTGCATGTACAGCTATAATGTACTTTAATCTTGGTGAAATGTACACCGAAGTACAGTGTCGATACAGTGTACAGTGTCGATACAAATGAGTAGTAATGAAACAGCAAGATTAAACACAGATAGAACCCCAGCAAACCACAATTAGAAGAATATTATCCCTTCTTATTCAAGTCAGGCTTCAGGCTACAATCGTATGCTCCAGTTCAACGCACACCTCTTATTTTAACCAATCAGAACATGAACAACAATGCAAAAGAGGGGTTGCAGTTCCAGACTGGCAGTCCAAAACACTCAGGACCTGCACCGTTAGTCACGTCATGTCATTGGCCAAACCGCTTTATACCATACGACGTTGCGGGAAGCTGGAGCCCACCTGGCGAGCAACGAGCCCAAGGCAGGATACACCCTGGGTACGCCCGTCCATCGCAGGGCCAGTGCAAGCCAGTCCTACATGGGGACAATTTGGAGGCCACTGTAAAGGCCGAGGGGGAGATTTGGCCTGGACACCGGGATAACTCCCTACTCTTCTCGAGAAATGCCCGGGGACCTTTAATGACCCCTGAGAGTCAGTACCTCGGTGCAAAGTCTCATCCGAAAGACGGCACCCACTACAGTATAGTGTCCCCGCCACTACACTGGGGCATTAGGACCCACACAGACCACAGGGTGGACGCCCCCCGCTGGTCCCACTAACACCACTTCCAGCAGCAACCTTAGTTTTTTCCCAGGAGTCTCCCATCCAGGTACTGACCAGGCTCACACCTGCTGAGCTTCAGTGGATAGTCAATAGAGAGCTGCAGGGTGATACAGCTGCTGGCCTACACCATTAGTACTTACCGTTAATAAGGCCCTCTGTCTCCAATAAGATAACCTGTGTGTAGCAGACTTAGACTATTTAGAAGTTAAGTTGACCATTGCATCACCTGTCTGCAGTGAAACTGAAGTATTTCAATACAGTGATAAACTGAATCCAGTCTTCCACTTTCAAAGATAGTGATGTAGTGATTTTCAGTAGTGCACAGAAATCGGTCCTCTTTGGCTTGGGCACACAGCCAGTTTCATGCCACATTGGATACACTTAGGTGCAAACTGATTTCTTACCCAATGACAGTCATTCTTATGCAATCAACAGTGCCACGTGGCTTTGCTTTATAATGCAGTACAAAATAAGGGGCTAAAATGAATAAGAGCCCTATAAAAAGTCATTGTCCAATGACAGTGTCCAGTCTGATTTAGACCCAGGGCCCAGGCAGTAGTCCTACAGGCCAGGTCTGGATTCATAATGTCTGTGTTATTCTAACTGCCACAACTCCTTCTCCTGTTCATAGTCTTGCACTAGGCTACAATATGTTTTCAGATACTACTCAAAAACTCTAAATGCATTATTTTAATGTAAGGGGACATTTTGCCTTCTTTAGCAGAAAGAGTGATTTTGGCTAGAGTCATGAGTTAGGAGGATGGAATTCCTTGTGCACTTATGGATGCCCATGCATTTTTTATACCTGTGTGGGAGTGATAAATTCCGTCAGCTCCGAATGTCTTCCTCTCATGAAGCCAAATGAATATTTCAGGATTGTCATACGATATGTGCCACTTAACCATGAGGACGTAATACGCACAATTCTGCATGTTATTCAAAAGTGGAAAAAATGACATCTAGGTCACAGAATGATTTTAAGATCTTATTTCTGTAACAAAATCACTCTATTCTTCAATGCTTTAGGGAAGGAAAAGCCTTTGAATGCCTGTTCACTGACCCAAATCAGCTTTCAGAAATCACTGCAACGTGGTTTTTCAATGTGCAAGGTGCAAGTCAGGTGATTCTGCAGACTGCTGAGTTGGGCTGAAGTTACAGTCTCTACTTGTCATGGCATGAGGGTACGAGTGACACCTCTGGCCACTCAAAGGAACTGTATAATAGGTACCTGCTCAAGGCTTTGCTTCAGGTGTTGCTGACACTGGGTGTTGGGAATATTGGTCAGGATGCCTTCAACCCCAGTGCTGGAGGCCCATGCGCCCGTTGAATTGTTTTTTTCCATTCAGGCTTCCTGTTACATAATTCAACCCTTAACGGTTAATAATTAGATTCAGCTCAAGCCTTACCTTAGTCTTCCAATGGAGTGGCATGGTGGTGTAGCAGTTAGCACTCCTGCCTCCCAGTGCTGGGGTCCTGAGTTCAATTATGGCCCTGTGTTTGTGTGGGTTTCCTCCAGTGTTCCCATTTCCTCCTACAGTGCAAAGACAGACTTGCATGTCAATAGTCTTCTGGGAAAAGTGGCCCTGGTGTGAGTTTGTGTGTCCACCCTGTGATGGACTGTTATCCTGCCTGGTGCCTGTTTCTTGCTGGTATAGACTCCAGCTCTCTCCTGAGCTTGGAGTGGACAGAATGGTTCGAAAATGAGTAGATGAATAATCTCTTTAATTGATTTTAGTTCATAAGCATGGCGGAGGTTAACTACTGCATAACTAAACATGCAGTATAAGATTTTTCTGCACTGATTTCTAGGGGGATGGATCATGGTGTGCCTTGTTTAAAAATGCACAGCACACTAGTAAGGATGTAATTCCCAGGGTAAAAGGGAAATCTTACTTTTAGAACTTAGGAATTTACAGTATGTTTCAAGAACACAAGACTACAAAAGGATCTGATGCAAGCATTAAAATTCTTCCTGAAAGGCACTGATGAAGTCAGCCCAGTGGTCTTCTTCAGAATAAACACTGAAACAAGAAACTGAAGAAACCTAATGGATGTTAAGGGGAGGGGTGTATTTAAAACAGAGAGCTGCAGGTACCCTGTACTCAAAGGGTGGTGGGAGAGTGGAACAAGCTGCCCAGCCATGTTGTTGCTACCCTGGCTTCTTTCAAGAAATGGCTGGAAGGTTGGATGAGATCGACAGCTCAACAGGTTGATTTAGCAACCAAACCAGCTAGATGGTTCTCATTCGTAACTATTGTAATGAATGCTCCTGATCTGGTGGCTCAGCCACCCACCGCCTGGCCCAGGCAGCGTCCTCAGATCGCGGACTGTCTTGCCACACTGTCCAGCTTTCCAATTGAAAACAACACCGCAGAAGTCCGAAGCAAACAATCTGTTACATCAGTTGAAAGTTAATGAAAGAGCTCGGCAGGAACAAAACCCAGCTGGGTATCAGGAACCCCTATTTTACGGCGTCGCGGGTCGTTGCACAACTCGGATATCAAGAGCCGCCTTCAGGCGGATTTCGTACTGGAGGTCTCTTTAAATCTCCAGCTTCTACAAGAACTGGGGAAGGCGGCAGCTTGTTCAAATGAGCAAATAATGAGCTCAATTGGGTGATTAAATGCTTGGGTGGAAAGAAACTCAGAAACCTCCTGGCCCTCCGGGTCGCCCCTGCCTACTGTGTGTTGCACGATTTTGCCCGACAGCTCCGTCTAGGTCTCACTACTGGGCATCGGAGTCGCCCGCTCCGTCCCTTACCTGATCTCAAAACACACAATCAAACACAATTTGACCGCTCGGGAAAGAAAGCCCACGTCTGGTTGTTTTGCACTCTTCATTGGGGTATGGGCATGCCTTGTGCCGCGCGGAGAAGACGCCTTGGCCCTTTAAAATTCAATTTCAGCGCAGTGATGTGTGCTGATCACCTGTCAGCGGCGGGGCATGCGCGGTAGAGGGAAAGGGGCGAGGAGGATTTGCATCCAGAGCTCGGTAACCTCCGTGCGAAGCAGAAAGGGATGTGAGAGATCAACGGAGACCAGCAGAGGAGGGATGATCAAAGATGGAGGAGTGAATTGAGAAATAAACAAGCCAGAGTAGGGGAATTAAGAGCGGGGCAGCCGAGATCGCGGTGGAGTGACATCTCTGGTCCAGAAAACAAAACAAAACAAAACAAACAACAACAAATCATAAAAGTGGCAGTCGATCATGGGGAACGAGGCTAGCCTCGAAGGTGGAGAAGGGGGACTCTCCGGATTGCAAGAAGGGGTTGCAGGGGACGGAAAGGGGGGTTTTATCCAGATCCCCGCAGGAATGGAGGCGGATCTGAGCCAGCTGAGCGAGGAAGAGAGGAAACAGATCGCGGCGGTAATGTCAAGAGCTCAAGGGCTGCCGCCTGGAAATACCAAGGAACATCCCCTACAAAGGCATGAAATTAATTATTTTGTGTGTGTGTGTGTGCGCGCAGACATTTCCTTTTTCGTTCCCCGGGTACTACACATAGTACTTCGGGGGTGCCTCGTGTTGAAGATCGCTGGTTGTATTGCGTTGCAGCTTGACATAATTAACACGATAGACCACGGAAAATTGGTTGACACCCATTCATGTTTAAGTGAGGTCTTACTCTTTTTATCACTAGGAATGAAACACTGCATGCATTCTGAATACGCATAAAACCACGGCTTTCTGATTATTATTATTATTATTATTATTAGTGATGGTGCTAGATATAGTGTAAAAAACGCCACCCATTTCTGTAATCGGTCTTCAGAATATAAATATAAGGTTGAATTGAATTACTATTCTTGTATTTTCGTGCATTCTGTTTCGGTCTTGCGAAATTATTAATTATTTTGTGTTTTATTGTTTTGTAATAACTGCCCGTTAAAGGACGACAGAAGCAAGCTATTTTTTTTCTGCCCTCAGTGTCAAATGTCTTTAAAAGCGCGATGTGTCCGGAGTCTAAGCATTTTCGACGTCTGCTCCAGCAAATCCAGAAGGATTGTGTTAATCGCTACATCCACAGGAAAACACTTATCCGCCCAGTTGCTAACTGCAGGAATTGTGGGGGTTTTAATGTGTTTGACAGTAGGTTGGTTGCGAAGTAGCCTGCAGTTACTTATTAATTTTTACTATTTGATGTTGGTGATTAGGCATGGCTTATTGGCGTTTTGGGTTCCAGGTACAGCCTCAACCTCAAGTGATTAAATGATGTAGAGCGACACTAGCAGTTTTTTTTTCCAGTACACGGAGAATATAAGACATCCGAGTTATTGAAATAATACTGTGTAGATGCTGTTCTTCGTACAGCCTTTAACACATCTTAACGAAGAATGTTTTTACTTGAAGACACAAAATGCAGCAGATAGCATTTCATGCCGCGGGAAGGCTAAAAATAATATACGGACTGCTATACGTTTTTGCTCTTCGCTTTATGGCAATAGGCAGACACTGAAAATGATAGTACATGTAATTCGTGCTGCTGTTTCTGAATGCGCACGGTGTGTTATTCTTAGCGGTGCAGACGCCGAGTGTCGTCTAGCTGAGGTAGGATATCGCGCTGATTTATAGCAGTTTATCTGAATGTAAGTCTCTGTCCGTGGTGCTGAAGCCAAAAACAGCACAGTGATATCTGAGAGAAAATGTTGGTTCTCTTCATAGCTGTCGTGTTTGTTCTTTTCATTCAGGCTTCTGTCTGTGCTCCATTTGCACGGGGCATATTGTAGTTTAATGTGTGTTTTGAACTGTAATTAATGGCTGGAATATCTCGAGAGAAAGTTTTAATTTCCATTGGTTGTATTATCACACTGATTTAGCAAAGGTAATAGGTATACACACATCTTATTCAGAGAGATCAGGAATATTATAAAGGGTACTTTTTAAATAATTTTTTTGAAGTTTTAAAGAGTGATGCTTCTGTCTATTTGAACACTAAGAAACACATCTTCAGCACACGCCTTCATGTAATTTATCCATTATGGGACTTCATTACTACGTTCATTTCTCTGCTTTGAATAATATTCTCAAAATACTGTGCATCCATACAGTATACTTGTATAGCTTGAATACGTTTTCCTACTGGGTGTAGAATATATAAATCTAAAACAAAAGATGCATGGAAATATTTCACAACATTTTGTGGAAAGATATTTCCAGTATGAACATTCCCAGTGGATTGTTAGGCGTTTAACCATATTGCTCTGCTACTTGTGACAGCCACCACCAGCTGGCAGCATGTGCAGTTGTCAAGGATTTTAATGCACCTTGAATGGACCTTTTTCTATTACCTTAAACTGTTGATACTTATAGTGCTTTAAGTAAGCAATCAATAGTTAAATCACATACGTAACAGAAATACTGTAGATAAGATAAAGGCTTTCCATGTTATCAAAAATAAAAGAGTTCACGTTGTGATACAGACGTCAGGTACTCATATTTTCCTTATAAAGCACACTTGAAAGATGATGCATCTAGGTGATGCATGCTGCTAAAAAGTCACGTTTTCCAGAACCATGTCTTTTAACAGATTTATGATGGAAAACAAAAATAATTTCTGTGTCTCGAAGGCATGTTGAAAGCTTATTCTCCTGGACAGAAATCAAAATAAGACATCCTTCCTATTTTTCTGTAAAAATAAGTCCTAAGGCAGCAGAAGCTGAACGAGGGTACCGTGTTTCTGCTTGATGCCATACTTAAATGACAACGTTTTTTGGGGTCCATGTTTGTTCTTCCTGAACATGTCCAATAATGGTTTCATTTTCTTCCAGGAAAGCCGATGTAGATACATACCATCAGCCCAGACAGCCGGGAAAACCACCAACCCAGGGGCCGGCTGGGATCAGTAAGAGCCAGACAGTTGATGTGTTCAAAACGGAAAAGATCCCACCGGGGAGAAGTCCCTCTTCAATCAGTCTTTTAGAATCCCGATCGAAGCCGGAAGTCAAAGACGAGCAGAAAGCAGCCATGATGCCCAGTTTCCTTAGTGAGGGCAACCCCCTCAGCGCAATGTCTTCTGTTGTAAATAAATTCAGTCTTTTCGGGGATTCGGACGAGGATGAAGCTGCCAAAAAGCAAAAGAGTTCCCAGCAACCACCAGCAAAAACTCCTGGGCAACAACCTGGTAAAGCTTCCCAGCAACCAGGTCCCAGAGCGGCCCAGCAGCAACAGGGGTCCCCTAAGCCTGGAAGACAGCAGCAAGGCTCCCCAAGACCTGGAGCTCAGCCACAAGCTGGCGCCCCCTCTGGCCCTCCGCAACAAGGGCCAGGTAAGCCTCTGACTGCACAAAAGGGTCCCACTCCACCACCAGGATCTGGAAAGCCTACACCTGCAGGATCTGGGCCCCAACAGCCAGTGGCTTCGGCTGCAGGCCCTCCACAGCAAGGGCCACCTAAGCCTAGTGCACAGCAGCAAGGGCCACCTAAGCCTAGTGCACAGCAGCAAGGGCCACCTAAGCCTACTGCACAGCAGCAAGGGCCACCTAAGCCTACTGCACAGCAGCAAGGGCCACCGAAGCCTACTGCACAGCAGCAAGGGCCACC